GCTGATTAGCACATTAAGCCGCATTCCCATGTTACCAGCGGTGTGGTCATCCAGCCACACCCACCTTTTGCTTGTTATTCTGTTTACCTTGTTTGTGGTCAAAACCCAGGGCTTTTCTTGTAGCAGGAACTCCTTTGCATGTTAGGCCACACACCCCTAACGTAGCCAATCCTAATGAGTTTCTGCTGTTGGGTGTGGCCTACTATGCTCATGAGTTCCTGCTGGGCGTGGCCAACTCGGGAGCCAGCCGGAACTCCATTCCTGTGCGTTCCTGCCCAAATTCTTTCCCTGCCAAAGTGTACTGTCACGTTACAGAGCAACTTCGTAAAGAAAGTGAGGGGAAGGGGGGGGTATAGGCATCAGGGGCCTTGTGAGCAAACATTCTACTTTGTGAGCTATTGGTATTAAAGTTGTGAGCGAGCGATTTGGCTGCTGCATAAATTAGTTTGCTCTGGAGCCATCCTCCCTGAGATAAGACAAAAATGTGTGAGCCGGAGGCTAAAAAGCTGTGAGCTAGCTCACACTAACTCAGCTTAGAGGGAACATTGATCAGGGGTCACAGGAAAATTGCATTTGCATTTATACTTTTGTGCAGGAGTGACAGGAAATGGGGGGAGGAGTGAGGCTTGGGGGGCGGGGGGGGCTGGGTGCCGTTCCTGCCCTGGGAGTGCTGCACATTCTGTCTCTCTCTCTCACACACACTCACACACCGGATGCAACCTACAATACTGAAAGGAATTTAATCTGGACTGTGGAATGTTAACAGGCCGCTAAAGAGAGTCTTTCTATCAATGTATAGCATTTGGGAATCGTTATGAACTCAGTACTGTTTATACTGAGGCTTTGGTTATATGCTTCAATAAATAATCAGCTGATAAACGCCGAACGATCCATTGCCAGTCTTAACCGCAGGCTTTTTGGGGATGAGGAAGAGAAACCGGGCCTCCTGGATTTGGGATGGGAAGAGAACGGAGACAGGGTTGGGTGAAAAGATCTCAAAGGCCCTTATCCCCTTTAGGGATACTCTAGGGCAGTGGTGGCAAACCTATGGCACGGGTGCCAGAGGTGGCACTCAGAGCCCTCTCGTAGGACCCTCTCTTGGGGCACGCATGCCATCGCCCCAGCCAGGCCCAGACCATCATTAAAGTGTCGAATTCTCTGCCAAATAATTTTAAGTAAATGAAAGCATTTGGGATTGCTTTCCTTACTTTGTTTGGATCATCTTAAGTTAATGTATGAGTTGTTTTTTCTAAAGTAAAACCTCAGTATTCAGGTTAAATTGCCGTGTTGGCACTTCGCGATAAATAAGTGGGTTTTGGGTCGCAGTTTGGGCACTCGGTCTCTAAAAGGTTCGCCATCACTACTCTAGAGTTTGCATCCGATGCAGCGTTTCCAGGGACAATACAAATTCTGCCAGCAGAAGGCAACTTTCTGCCTCTCCTGGGAGGCGCTGAGAAAGCTGCCCTCTGCAAGTAGAAGAGCCCTGCTGGATCAGACCAGCTGTCCATCTAGTCCAGCGTCCTGTCTCACACAGTGGCTGACCAGCCCTTTGGAGGGCCACCAACAGGGCACAGAGGATGAGGCCTTCCCCTGATGTTGCCTCCTGGCACTGGGATTTAGAGCTTGCCTGCCTCTGAAAGTGGAGGCTCCCTATGGTCACCGTCCCAGTAGCCACTGATAGACCTGTCCTCCGTAAAAATTATACCATCCATGAAATCTCTGCACTGGACCCGAACCCAACTTCCTTCTCCCTAAATTTTCATTTTTTTTAAAAAAACTAAGTATAGGTGGTGATTCCTGTATAACCAGACATAAAATGGAAGTTAGGTGTGAGTAGATTAACACTGTAAACAAAATTACTCTGAAAACAGGCCATCAAATGTTATACAGCTCTCTATTAAAGATTTTCCAATGTGAATTATACAACACCAGACCACGGCTGTTGCTCAGATGTGTATAAATTTATACGAATACACTGAATGTGAGAAATCACCCAGGGTTGGGTGAAAAGATCTCAAAGGCCCTTATCCCCTTTAGGGATACTCTAGGGCTTCCATCCGATGGAGCATTTCCAGGGACAATACAAATTCTGCCAGCAGAAGGCAACTTTCTGCCTCTCCTGGGAGGCGCTGAGAAAGCTGCCTTCTGCAAGTAGAACCTAAGAAGAGCCCTGCTGGATCAGACCAGTGAGGGTCCATCTAGTCCAGCGTCCTGTCTCACACAGTAGCTGACCAGCCCTTTGGAGGGCCACCAACAGGGCACAGAGACCAAGGCCTTCCCCTGATGTTGCCTCCTGGCACTGGGATTTAGAGCTTGCCTGCCGCTGAAGGTGGAGGCTCCCTATGGTCACCCAGTAGCCACTGATAGACCTGTCCTCCGTAGAAATTATACCATCCATTAAATCTCTGCACTGGACCCAAACCCAGCTTCCTTCTCCCTAAATTTTCAGATTTTTTTTTTAACTAAGTATATGCGGTGATAAAAGGAAAGTTAGGTGTGAGTAGATAAACACTGTAAACAAAATGACTCTGAAAACAGGCCATCAAATGTTATAAAGCTCTCTATTAAAGATTTTCCAACGTGAATTATACAACACCAGACCACGGCTGTTGCTCAGGTGTGTATAAATGTATACGAATACACTGAATGTTTCTACGTCTCTGGAGCCATCCTTCCTGAGCTGAGACAAAAATGTGTGAGCTGGAGGCTAAAAAACTGTGAGCTAGCTCACACTAACTCAGCTTAGAGGGAACACTGGTCTCTTGCCTCGAAAACCCTGCGGGGGTTTCCGTAAGTCAGCTGCACCTTGATCGCACTTTTCACCATGAGGATTTACAAGCATTTTGTAAAATATTAATATAACGTCATAACTGTAAATTTAAATATATCATTGTGTTTGGGTTTAGGGTTCTGCCATTTCCGACTGACAAACGTCCCCCTACCACAAACTCTGTGGCTATGGCAGCTGGAATGAAACCAACATCTGGGTCCGTCCATCCCCCCACTTACTGGAAAGTCATTGGTCCGGCTTCTAGGGAGCACCTCGTTGGCGAATGTTCCCCAAGTTTCCGGAAAAGCTGTTTGGCTTGGTTGTGATATTCCTGGAAGTTCCGGTTTGACTGTGGAGGAGAGAGGAGATTTAAGCTGCTTTGCCGTTTGTCAGCTTGACAGGGAGCTCTAGAACTCAAGACGCTTGCATGTGCTTCAGGTGAAAGAAAGTGGCCCTATATACAAATGTTAGCTGGTAGTTAATAGCACCTTGTCTATTTTGTAGTTCCAGTGGGACTACAGGCATCAAGTCAGAGGGGAACTCTGCATTCATTCCCTTGACAAGCGCTTAGGTCTCTATCCCATGGGTTATCCTGCCCTGAGTTCAGTGCTTTCGGGGAGTGGGATCTTCCCCGTTTCCCCACAGCTGTGTGGAACATTTGTGCACCTCCAGGGGTTTCCCTGGCTTTCCCCCAGTCTTTCCCAAACCAGCTCTGCTTTGAAGTTTTGGGAAAGATTGCAGTAAAGCCTGGAGGGCTGCTCTGTTGGTGGGAAAATTCGAACTCGATGCTGTCATAAGAACATAAGAACATAAGAGATGCCAATGTTGGATCAGGCCAAAGGCCCATCCAGTCCAACACTCTGTATCACATAGTGGCCAGAAATACCAGGTGCCATCAGGAGGTCCACCAGTGGGGCCAGGACATTAGAAGCCCTCCCACTGTTGCCCCCTACCCCAAGCACCAAGATGACAGAGCATCACTTGCCCCAGAGTCCCTATCTATACCTTGTGGCTAATAGCCCCTGATGGACCTCTGCTCCATATGCTTATCTAATTCCCTTTTGAAGCCGTCCATGCTTGTAGCCGCCACCACTTCCTGTGGCAGTGAATTCCAAGTGTTAATCACTCTTTGGTGAAGAAGGACTTCCTCTTATCCGTTCTAACCCGAACGCTCAGCAATTTCATGGAGTGCCCACGAGTTCTTGTATTGTGAGAAAGGGAGAAAAGTACCTCTTTCTCTACCTGCTCTTTCCCATGCATAATCTTATAAACCTCAATCATGTCACCCCTCAGTCCCCAGAGCAGCCATTTTATCTCCCTGCCACTGGGGGGGGGGATTTTTTGTCTTTTAAAAATCAGTACTAAAATATCATTATATTAGTATACTGCATTGTACAAAGAGGTGCAGCAGTTTCTCCCAATTACCAACTTTTCAGTGTTTTTTTTTTTAAGTTAAGTCTCTTGCCCCTTCTGGAAATATGAGGAAGACACCTTTCTCATTGCAAAATTCAGACTTAAACTGAAGAAAATCGGGAAAACCATGAGGCCATTCAGGTTTGACCTAGATCACATCCCTGATGAATATACAGTAGAGGTGAAGAATAGATTCAAGGGTCTGGATTTGATAGATAGAGTGCCTGAAGAACTATGGACAGAGGTTCGTGACATCGTACAGGAGGCAGCAATCACCACCATCCCAAAGAAAAAGAAATGTAAGAAAGCAAAGTGGCTTTCTGATGAGGCTTTACAAATAGCAGAGGAAAGAAGGAAAGCGAAAGGCAAAGGCGAAAAGGAAAGATTTACCCAACTGAACGCAGATTTCCAGAGAACAGCAAGGAGAGATAAGGAGGCCTTCCTGAATGAACAGTGCAAAGTAATAGAAGAAAACAATAGAATGGGAAGGACTAGAGATCTCTTCAAGAAAATTGGAGAAATCAAGGGAGCGTTCCATGCAAAGCTGGCCATGATAAAGGACAAAAACGGTAGGGACCTAACAGAAGCAGAAGAGATTAGGAAAAGATGGCAAGAATACACAGAAGAACTATACAAGAAAGACCTCGATGTCCTTGACAACCACGACGGTATAATCACTGACCTCGAGCCAGACATCCTGGAATGTGAAGTTAAATGGGCCTTAGAAAGCATTGCTAACAACAAAGCTAGTGGAGGTGATGGTATTCCAGCTGAGCTATTCAAAGTCTTAGAAGATGATGCTGTTAAAGTGCTGCACTCCATTTGCCAGCAAATTTGGATAACGCAACAGTGGCCACAGGATTGGAAAAGATCAGTATACATTCCAATCCCAAAGAAGGGCAATGCCAAGGAATGTTCAAACTATCGCACAATTGCACTCATATCACACGCTAGCAAGGTCATGCTCAAGATCCTACAAGCTAGGCTTCAACAGTACGTGGATAGAGAACTACCAGAAGTACAAGCTGGGTTTCGAAGAGGTAGAGGAACTAGAGATCAAATTGCCAACATTCGCTGGATTATGGAGAAAGCAAGAGAGTACCAGAAAAATATCTACTTCTGCTTCATTGACTATGCTAAAGCTTTTGACTGTGTGGATCACAACAAACTATGGCAGGTCCTTAAAGAGATGGGAGTACCAGACCACCTCACATGTCTCTTGAGAAACCTGTATAAGGGCCAAGAAGCGACAGTTAGAACCGGATATGGAACAACTGATTGGTTCAGCATAGGAAAAGGAGTACGACAAGGATGTATATTGTCGCCTTGCTTATTTAATATATATGCAGAGTACATCATGCGAAATGCTGGCCTGGATGAATCACAAGCGGGAATTAAGATTGCTGGGGAAAAGATCAACAACCTCAGATATGCAGACGATACCACTCTAATGGCAGAAAGTGAAGAGGACCTAAAGAGCCTCTTGCTCAGGGTAAAAGAGGAGAGCGCAAAAGTGGGCTTGAAGCTCAACATCAAAAAAACTAAGATCATGGCATCCGGCCCCATCACTCCTTGGCAAATAGAAGGGGAAGTCGTGGAAGTAGTGACAGACTTCACGTTCCTGGGATCCCAGATCACCGCAGACTGTGACTGCAGCCATGAAATTAAAAGACGCCTGCTCCTTGGGAGGAAAGCGATGGTGAACCTAAACAGCATGATAAAAAGTAGAGACATCACCCTGCCAACAAAAATACGCATGGTCCAAGCAATGGTATTCCCAGTAGTCATGTATGGCTGCGAGAGTTGGACTATAAGGAAGGCCGAGCGCCGAAGAATAGATTCTTTTGAACTATGGTGCTGGAGAAGACTCTTGAGAGTTCCTTGGACTGCAAGAAGATCAAATCAGTCAATCCTAAAAGAAATCAACCCTGACTGTTCCCTGGAAGGCCAGATAATGAAACTGAAGCTCAAATACTTTGGCCACCCAATGAGAAGGGAGCACTCACTGGAGAAGACCCTGATGCTGGGAAAGATTGAAGGTCAAGGAAGACGGGGACGGCAAAGGATGAGATGGTTAGACAGTGTCAGAGATGCAACGAACATGAAACTGAGCCAACTTCAGAGGACGGCGGAAGACAGGAGGGCCTGGCGGGATCTGGTCCATGGGGTCGCGAAGAGTCGGACTCGACTGTGCGACTGAACAACAAAAAGCTCACACCAACTCAGCTTAGAGGGAACACTGATGCCAGGGACCAGAGATAGAAACAGTATAAAGGACAGCCGCTGGTAAGGGCCGAGTTGGTGTGTCCTCACTGCAAGGCCCCCTGGGCAGGGAGGGGGGTGCAGAGGGCAACCCACATAGGCAGACTGGAGAGGCAGCGGTGCAGCGCCGGACAAATGCTCCCAAGATGCTGGACTGCTGCAGACGAGGTAGCTCTGCTGTGCTGAAGCCACAATGGAGTGGCTCCGCTCACTCCCCCCCCCCCAAGCACTCCCTCCCTTTTCAGCTCTGGCTCTGGCCTTGTGGCACACTCCCTGAAACGAGATCAGGGCCCTGTGGGATCTGTCGCGATTCCGTAGAGCCTGTAAAACAGAGATGTTCTGCCAGGCCCATGGCTGAGGCGGTGGAGATCCGACTCCATTAGCATCCCCTACCCCACTTCTGGAGCTGCGGTGGCTCAAGTGGTGAAGACGCTGAACTGCAGGCTGTGGAAGGTCGGTAGTTCAGCAGTTCGAGACCCGAGTGTGCCGCATGACGGAGTGAGCTCCGGTCTCTAGTTCCAGCTCCTGCCAACCTAGCAGTTCGAAAGCAAGAAATTGCAAGAAGATAAATAGGTACTGCTTCTGTGGGAAGGAAACAGCGTTCCGTGCGCCTTGGTGTCTAGTCATGCCGGCCACATGACCACGGAAACGTCTTCGGACAGCACTGGCTGTTCGGCTTTGAAACGGAGATGAGCACCGCAACCCTAGAGTCGGACTCGACTGGCTTTCGAGCAAGGGAAACCTTTACCCCACTTCTGCTTCCATCTATGCGGCACTGTCTATTCGCTGCTGTCTACCACTTGTCCAGCACCTGGCCCCATCGGTGGGGATACATACTGAATGTCCTCAGGGGCCGTTTACTAACTGTCTTTGATTGCCATCCCATGCTGTATAGGTGTTTTTTAAAAATATTGTGTAGATTGTGTTTTAATCTGTGTGCTTTTTTGTTTTTAAACCCCCCCCCCCCAGCCCTGCTGTGCAGGGAAGGGCAGGCTAGAAATTCAATTAAGTAAATAAATAAATAATCAGTTGCTCGCGGGCCGTAGAAGAGCCCTGGATGGGCGGTTCCAGCCCCCCTCGGCCTCATGTTTGACACCCCTGCCCTAGGAGGCCACCAGAAGTCAGGTGCGACTTGACTGCATTTTCCGGGGCCCCCCCTCCCATTTGCCTTAGCTGAATTTCCACTTTCCTTGCAAGTTCATTGCCTATGTCCAAGCAGGAGCCAAGAATCCATCCTCACTTAGTGTCCAATAGACGTTCTCCACCATTTTTACAGTTGGATGCTTATGGGATTACGACAGTTCTGCTGGAGGCTTCTGGGAAGTCCACACACAGGGCACAAAGGCTACAGCCTTCGCCTGCTATTTGCCCCTCCTCCTGGCAACTGGTCCTGGAAGACAGGCTGCCTCTGAACATGGAGGTTCCATTGAGCTACCACAGCTGAAAGCCACCATTGCATTCTGGCCCCCTATGTAGCCATGAGGCCTTCTATGAGGCCAGATAAGCCAACCACACTTGCTCCCTTATGCCTTTGAAAGAGAATCAGCTACCACCTCCCAAGCGAGTTTGGTGTAGTGGTTAAGAGTGCAGACTCTAATCTGGGAGAACTGGGTTTGATTCCCCACTCCTCCACATGCAGCTGCTGGTGTGACCCTGGGTCAGTCACAAGTTTTCTCAGAGCTGTTCTCTCAAGAGCAGTCCTTGAAAGCGCTCTCTCAGCCCCACCTACCTCACAAGGTGTCTGTTGTGGGGAGGGGAAGGGAAAGGAGTTTGTAAGCTGCTCTGAGACTCCTTTGGGTAGTGAAGGGAGGGGTATAAATCCAATCTCTCTTCTCTTCTAAGAGTCTCAGGTCAAAGGCAAAACAGCAGCTAGCTCCATAGTGGGCTACCCTTGAAGGCTTGCTTCTCCCCTTTCCATGTGGCCATCTGCAGGGGGGAACGAAATTATGCTGCGACCGGAAACACACTTGACTACCTAGGGTTGCCGAGATGGCTGGTGGGAAATAACCTCTCCCATTAACATAGGCGTCATGTGTGGAAATGGGTAGCTGGAGTGTTGCAGGACATGGCAATAAATAACAGCCCATGACGCCTGTATTGACAGGGCAGGACATTTTGTCTCCAGGGCGTTGGCAGCCCTGTTGTTAACCAGGACATTCGTCCCACAGAACTTAGTTTGCTCACCTATCCACTTTCTCAAAAATAAATTATCCAGCAACTAATACTTCATGAAACCACTTAAAATTGCACACATACCAAAAGTTCAACAGCAGGTGCTGCGGGTAAGACAGCTAGTTGTGGCAGCAACGATTAAGCTGTTGGGCTGGCGCTGGGAGACCAAGGCTCAAACCGACCTTCTGTTATGACTTTGGGCCCCAGCCTACATCGCAGGGCTGTCGTTGGGAGTATAAAATGGAGAACTGTGTACGCTGCCTGAGCGTCTCGGAGGAACGCATTAGACAGACAGATCCGAAAAAGCTTCCGAGGGTGGGGATGGGGAAGGGAAACCCGGTGAGAGGCGAGGGGGCTGCGGATGCCGGACGCCTGGGTCCCCCTCGCCTCCTCCTTACCTGCTCTGTTTCTTGCATGGACGCCGCCAAGAGAAGCCCGTCCTGGACGCGACTTATCATAGTAAGCAGCACCATCTTGGCTGGAGCAAAGGAGGGAGAGATCGAGATCTTGCTCTATGGGGGGAGGCTCTCCCCCCCCAGCCCCCTCCCCCCCAATCCACAGCCCGGCGCTGGATCTGGGCTCCCGGCTGACGTGGCTGAGGGGTGGGGGGAGGGAGATCCCGGACAAGGGGCGGGACTCAGAGGAGTAACTTTTGCACAAGCGGGGAAGCACACCCATTTCCTCCCCGCTTCTTCGCCGAAAGGACTCCGCCTTTCTTCTTGGAGCTCCGCCCCCCCTTGGAGATGCCGCATTCGGGAGAAACTTTCAAGGCGTATGAAACTTCTTAAAGGTAGCGTCGCTGCTGGCCTGTTCAGGGATGAAGCTGTTCATTGCATCAGTGCGGAAGATCTGTCCAATGGACAGTGGTCCGATGGTGGGGGCTGCGTGGTGTAGTGGTTCGAACGTCAGATGAAGGCCGCGGAGACCTGTGTTCAAATCCTCACTCTGCCCTGGAGCTTCCTGGCTGACATTAGAGCTGTCAGCCTCCAGGTGGTGATGGCTGGAGATCTCCCGCGATTTCGACTGATCATCACGCGACAGAGATCAGTTCCCCTGGATTGGCTGCTTTGGAAGGTGGACTCCATGGCATTCTACTACCCCACACTGAAGTCCCTCCCCTCCACAAACCCCGCCCTCCTCAGGCTCAACCCCCCAAAACTGCAGGTATTTCCCAATCTGGAGCTGGCAATCCTAGGAGAGCGTGTTGTTTGTTGTCAGACTCTAGGCGAGGCCTGGAGGCAACCTGGCTCCATATGCAGAGACGCCAACAATTATTGGAGTACTTCTTATGCTGCCTTTTGACCAGATGCTTCCCCATCACAAAAGCCCAGATTTACAGTATCGTTCACAAACTGGACAGTTAAAAACAGCAGGTATTACTAAAAGCAAGCAGCCGTGTCCCACAATCAGCTCCACAGAGGGCACAGCTTGTGGAAGGTGCCCTCTCTGAGACTGGCATGACTGCCCGTTAGAAACCTTCCCTGTGGTAGTCCCACAATTATGGAACAAGCTTCATAAGAACCTAAGAGAAGCCAGTGTCGGATCAGGCCAATGGCCCACCCAGTCCAACACTCTGTGTCATGCAGTGGCCAAAACCCAGGTGCCATCAGGAGGTCTGCCAGTGGGGCCGCCCTTTACAGGTCCTGAACATCTCCTTACTGGCCTTCGGGAGTAAGTCAGTAATTCTTTTTTTATGGCAGAGAAGAAGGCATTCATATTTGAAAGCGCCTGGGTTTTTTGTAGTCCTTTGTACCACCACCATCACCACTACCTGCAGCCGACTCAGGCTAAAACAGCCGTTCCCAGTCACCTGTATGTAGGGTTACCAGGGAAATTCCTGGAGATTTGAGGGCAGAACCTGGGAAGGGCAGAGTGAGGGGAAGAACCACAACTGGGATTAGGCTTGCCAAGACCCCCCGGGGGGCGGGGAGACCCCCGCCCCAGAGGCCCGTTCCCCGCCGCTGGCGGATTGGGCCCCGGGGGGGAACTCCACCCCGACATGTGCGTCACCCGGAAGTGACGCGACCACGCCAGGCACGCTGGGGGCGGGGCCACGGTCATCCGAGGGAAAACTCTGATGACGTCCCATGCTTTGGGGGTGGGGTTCCCCCCGGGGCCCGATCCGCCGGTGGCGGGAAACGGGCCTCTGGGGTGGGGTTTTCCCCGCCCCCCAGGGGGACTTGGCAAACCTAAGAGCAAGAAGCAGCCAGGTAAGTTGCAGAGCCCCCCCCCGATCCAAAACAGTCCAGTGGCACCTTTAAGACCAGGTTTTATTCAGGTACAAGCTCTCCCTCCTCTGTAAGATCAGATCTGCACGTTCTCCCGCCCCCATTAGCTAGGAATCCAAAACAGTTCAGTGGGGCCTGAGCGGTGGGTGTTGCCTTCTGACACACTTCTGGTGATGTCAGGGGGTGTGGCATATGCAAATAAGTTATGCTAATGAGTTATGCTAATGAGCTCCTGCACCTCTTTTTCTACGAAATGACCCCTGGCCCGGGCTAAGGCCTTTTGACTCTTGGGCTTAAGGTTTGTGCCACCTAACACAAGTCCTGGGAAGTGTTAGTTAAGTTGGTTTCCTTGTTTTCTTGCTGTATGATTTCTGAGATAATGTGCTGCTTGTAGTTTGAATGTTTAATTTTGTTAGAAATCGAATAAACTTCACAAATAGGGTTGCCAGGTCTTACCCATCTGCCAGTGGGGGGCTCCTGGCTTACTCCCGGGGTCTTCACAGGAAGTGATGTCATCACACTAGGCACGTTCTATAGGGGACGTTCTAGCATTCTAGCACATTCTGCAAGGGACGTTCTAGCCTAGTTTTACAAAGGACGCTCTATGTCACCATAGAGTTTTTAGCCGAATGCTAGAGCATCCCCCACACAACATGTCTGGCACTATGACATGACCTCTGGCTGGCTGGTGGTGGATTGCCCCCCCCCCAAAAAAAATTGGGGGAGCCCCTGCCCCCATTGGAGGCAACTCTATTCATAAATCTTTTTATAAAATTTACTAAAGGTCTGGTTACTTGTGTACGACTGCCCTGGCGACTCACGGGGTTCAGCCTTGGACTCCTTGACAGGTTCCTGTCACCCTGTGCCGTCAATTTGAGGACACTTATTTGGCCAGATAGAAAGGCAATCATGAGTGAGGCTGAAAATGAGGAGCCTGTTTCCACTTCCCAGATCTCACTGTTGTGAGGTAGTGACTGTATCCCCTTCCCCCTCGCGCCATCCTTAATCGGGCCTTGGTAGCCCCAGAGCTCAGACAGGACTTCAGTGTCAGCAGCACCCTGATTTTGCAACAGCCAGATCAGAGAGACGGTGTTGCACATCTTAGCGGAAGCAAAACGTTGCACAAATGTGAACATCAGCCAGAGTTTCAACACCGAAACCTGACATTTCCATGTGCAAAAATGTTATTGTTTGAAAATGTGAATGTTTTGAAGAAGCGGAAATTTTTAAGCCTTGCCAGGGTGACGTAATATAATTTTCAAAGTCAATAGTTTAGTTCCTCCTTTAGTTAGCCAATTTCTCCAGAAGTAACACCATTTGTTCACTCAGTAATTCTTAGGAATCTCCCCCCAAAAGGCTCAGTTGTGGTGATTCCTGCCATCACTTCAAACAACCTTTGTATATAGATTCCGGTGGGTAAATCAGTGTTCCCTCTAAGTTGTGGAGTCTTGTGAGCAAAAATTCTACTTTGTGAGCTACTGGCATTAAATCTGTAAGCGAATGATTTGGCTGCTGCATAAATCAGTTTGCTCTGGAGCCATCTGTCCTGAGCTAAGACAAAAAAGTGTGAGCCAGAGGCTAAAAAACTGTCAGCGAGCTCACACTAACTCAGCTTAGAGGGAACACTGGTAGCCATGTTGGTCTGAAGTTTGAGTCTAGTGGCACCTTCAAGACCAACAAAGTTTTAGTCCTAGTGTAATCCTTCATGTGCACGTGCACACTTCAGCGTATGTGCACACAATGGCTTATACCAGGAACAAATCTTTGTTGGTCTTGAAGGTGCACACGAAAGCTTATACCGGGAATAAAACTTTGTTGGTCTTAAAAGGTGCCACTGGATTCTAACCTTTGTTGGTGTCGCACAATGGCCTTGCCTTCTGTGGGCGGAGTGTACTATGATGCAACCCACCCCTTTCAGTTTTCACCGTGCATGACCCACCTGCAGCTTTCTTTCTCCTGATATCATTTTTTTAAAGCTGCTCTTTTTGGGGGGTTTTGCACAGAAGCACCACAACAAACCAAACCGATTTCTATTCTGAACACAGCAGTGCACAACTGAGCAGAAGGAGCAAACTTTTGAATTGGCGATCACAGCGGCACAGCAGTTTCGGGTTAGTTTTGAACCACGGCACGTTTGGGGTTACTTTTGAACAACGTGGCTGGAGAGATGCGTTGGGGGTTTACAGAGGGGGCCGTAGCACAGCTGGGCACAATTCATGTCGGAGGAGGAGGAGGAGGTTGGATTTATACCCCGCCTTTCACTTGGAGTCTCAGAGCGGCTTACAAACTCCTTTCCCTTCCCTTCCCCTCCCCTCCCCACAACAGACACCCTGTGAGGTAGGTGGGGCTGAGAGAGCTCTGACAGAAACTGCCTTTCAAGGACAACTTTGTCAGAACCACGGCTTGCCCAAGGTCATCCAACAGCTGCGAGTGGAGGAGTGGGGAATCAAACCCGGTTCTCCCAGATTAGAGTCCGCACACTTAACCACTACACCAAACTGGCTCTTGGGTTTTGGTTCTCACGTTTTAGTTCTCAGGGTTTAGTTGTGCATTCCCTCTTATTAAAGTGGCACAAAGCTATACTGAAGAGTTTTGCATTTCGTTCTCATCTTCATCGGCAGCAAAGGCCAGGCAGGAGGGAAGCAGGAATCTACTGCTTGTCTTAGGTTGCCATCTCTGGATTAAGAAGTACCTGGAGATTTTAGGCAGAGCCTGGGCAGGGAAGGGTTTGGGGAGGGGCGGGAGCTCAGTGGGATATAATGCCACAGAGTCCACCTTCCAAAGCAGCCATTTTCTCCAGGGGAGCTGATCTCTGTCGTCTGGGGATCAGTTCGAATTCCGGGAGATCTCCAGGCACCACATGGAGGTTGGCAATCCTGTCTTCACCACACCGGCAATGGCCACTGATACTGTGCCAATGATTTACACTCTGACAACATGAATGGAGATTGTGAAAGGTTCTTGGGGGGAAAGAACTCTGTTTGTAGAGCTACAGTAATACATTTCCTTGTAGCTAATTGCCAAAGACCACAAACCAGTCAGTAGTACAAAGTGTGGAAGCAGGGTGAAACGTCTAAATAAAACAGTACTGAGAGGGTCTTGCCTTAAAAAAACCTAGCAAACAAACCCTCCAATGATTTTTACAAGCAAATGTAGCTAAAGCGAATCTGCCAATCCCTCCTCCCGATTCGTTTAAGTCTTAATTCCACAACACCAGACCACCTCCTAGTAGAGCTTGCTTTGGTGCAATTGGAGATACTTTGTGGTGGAGACAAGCAAAATTAGTCTGCAACGAGTTTCCTGAAATGCCAGGGGATCTGGCTCTTCTCCTTCAATCACCCCCCTTTTTTAAAATCAACATTCAGCTTCAGGCAGAGTTCTGTGAAACTTGAAAGGCAGCAGACTGCTTTCTGACTGGTGCTAATGCAGGTATCACACTTCTGCTGCTACTACAAGTGGAGGTGTTCTGCCAGTAGATGGAGAAAATGTAGTTCTATTTACTTGGAAATCCTGGCCAGGAAGCGATGAGCAATCTGCTGCATTGGAGAGACCCTGCTTTGGTTTTGCATATGCTACTGCAAGATGGCATCTTCAAAGTTTCCTTAAGTGACTCCGCTTGATCCTAGAGACCCGGGCTGCCTTTATAGATGTGACGCAGCATTACAGATTTCAGTGGCGTGTCTTCAGTCATGAGAATCACAACAGTTCAGAGGAAAGCTTAGACGGATTCATACTCTGGCTGAGGAAGGCAAACATCTTATTGCGTCGAGGCCAGGGGGAAGAGCTGACCGCTGGTCTTCCATCCGGGTCCCCTGAGCTCTGAGCAGCAAATCCAGCAACCCTTGAATACCCACTGGGATGGGGGGCTCCGTGCGCTGGTCCTCCAGACGCTGGCTCTGTGGGGAAAGGGGGAATGAGTCACTCCTGCTATGGAATGGATGGAAGGAATAATATATTCAGTTTTATTGACACCCCCCCTCCAAATACAAGTTGATGCCTGTACGAGCTTCCCGCAAGAATATGAAAAAAGATCCCCCACCTTGCAGCAGCTATGGGAAAAATGGTTGTCTTCACAACTAATATAATAGTGTGTTTGGCTTTATCAAACTCAAAAACATATTTTGACACCAATATGAGCTTCCTATGTGAATTTAAAATATCGAAATAACCATATCCGCCATCTTGGGAAACGGTGGCTACGGGGAAAACGTCCTAAAATTTTAAAGCTATACTGTCCTGAAACATACACAATCAATAAAGTTCTCTGTACGAAGAAGAAGAAGAGGAGGCGGCGGAGGAGGAAATTTGATTTATACCCCACCCTTCACTCGGAGTCTCAGAGCGGCTTACAAACTCCTTTCCCTTCCCCTCCCCACAATAGAGGGAGGTGGGGCTGCGAGAGCTCTTTCAAGAACTGCTCTTTCAAGAACAGCTCTGACAGAACTATGGCTTGCCCAAGGTCCTCCAGCAGCTGCATGTGGTGGAATGGGGAATCAAACCCAGGTCTCCCAGATTAGAGTCCACGCACTTAACCACTACACCAAACTTATTATTATTATTTATTAAATTTCTGAATTGCCCCATCTCTGAGTACACAGGGCTCTGGGTGATTTACAACAGTTTAAAACATACAAAGTACAATTTAAAATCAACAGATCAATTAATTCTGATTATACAATCTCCAGATGGCATCTATAATTCAATCTAAAACCTGCGCTGGATATATATTTGCTGGGATCTATTGTGGATTCAGGACCACAAAGGGGTTTTTGCCATTGCCTCCCTCAGTGTAGTGACCCCGGACTCTGTGAAGTGACCCTTTCCCCCAATGGAACTCAGCCCCCTGAAATGTTATTTGCCCCAGTAGGGAGGGGGGCATTTCAGGATATTTTAATCGTTTTGGGTTTCTTTGCAGCAGAATTTAGGAATACAGCTTGAATGACTGCAAGTTCAATGATCTGACCCAGATTATATGAAGAACGTAAAAGGAGCCCTGCTGGATCAGGGCCAGCATCCTGTTTGCCACAGTGGCCATTCCAACCAGATGCCCCCAGAAGGTCTACAAGTGGGGACACAGAGGACAGAGTCTGCCAGTAGAGATACACTGCCTCTCAACATGGAGGTTCCATCTGGCTAACAGCTGTTATGAGCTCTTCTTCCCTAAACTCATCTAACCCATCTAAATAGGTAGGCCTTAATGCATCCTGTGGAGGTGAGTTCCATTGACTAGATTATACACTGTATGAAGTCCTTCCTTTAGTCCATCCTGAATCTACTTCTCCTCAATTTTATTTCTTGTATTAATGGAAGAGGGAGAAATGTTTCTTGGTTCGTTTTCTACACATCATCTTGTGTTTACTGTTGTGGACTGTCTTCCTCTTCTCTGTCTTCCTCTTCTGGACCTCCACAAACTGACAGAACTTTTTCTCCTTCTCCCCAAAACACTAGAACTTGAGGCCCTCCAAAGGAGCCGATGGCCAGAAGGTTCAGGGGTCCAACAAAAGGAAATACAATTTTACACAGAGAGTGATTAAAATGTGGAATCTGCTGCCAGACGATGTAGTGACGGCCACAGGAATAAACAGCTTGAAAAGGGGATTACATAAAACTCATGGAGGATAAGTCTACCAGAGGCTGCCAGACATAGTGACTGAGGCGGAACCTCCACATTCAGAGGGACTAATGCTCTGAATCCCAGAGCCGGGAGGCAGCATCAGGGGAAGGCCTCGGCCTCTATGCTGTCTTGTTGGTCCTCCAGAGGAACTGGTTGGCCACCGTGTGAGACAGGATGCTGGACTAGATGGACCACTGGTCTGATCCAGCAGGGCTCTTCTTAAGTTCTCATAAAGGAGGAGTAGATAGATTCTTGGAGGGGAGGTCTATCAGTGCTTACTAGCCATGGTGACTGAGGGGAGTCTCCACATTCATAGGCACTAAGCCTCTGAATCCCAGAGCCAGGAGGCAACATCAGGGGAAGGCCTTGGCCTCCTTGCCCTCTTGTTGGAACTGGTTGGCCACTGTAAGAGACAGGATGCTGAACTAGATGTACCACTGGTCTGCTCCAACAAGTCTCTTCTTATGTTCTTAAGGTAGGCCTGGATAAAGAAAGCCTACCTTTGTTTCTGCAGCAAAACTGCAACCCCCTAATGCATCACCTGGGACATGTTGTGCGTGCGTGTGCCTGGAAGTCATGGCAACCTCTAGTGACTCCTACTGGGGCGTGGAGGACGTTCAGAGATGTGGCTTGGTAGCCTGCCTCTGTGTCACGGTCTCTGGTATTCCTTGGTGGTCTCCCATCCAAACCCTTGCCAGAGTTGGCCCTGCTTCGCTTCCGAGCTCCGATGAGATTGGGGTTGCTTGGGCTGTCCAGGTCAGGGGCCCAGGACATTTTTTAGGGACCGAGAGACTCACCTGATGAGCCAAGATAGTGTCATAGAGTTGGTCCTCCGAGACGGCCACGCTCTCCCCGCTTGTGCCTTCAGGCCCTGCAAAATCAGCCCGCTGGTCGTTGAGCCGCCGGGCTTGGACTTTAGCCACCATATCAAAGAACTCCTCGGCCTGGAGAGAGGTCATGGAGGAGAAGAAAACTGGAAGGGAGAGGAGAAGAAGGTGATGGTAATGGTGGTGGTTCTTTGCATCCTGGAACAACTGAGCCAGGGCCAAAAGAAACATGGTGGGAAGTGCTGTCGGGTCACAACTTGAGTTGTGGCAAACCCGTAGGGTTTTCAAGGCAAGAGACATTCGGAGGCGGTTCGCCATGTCACAATCTCTGGTATTCCTTGGAGGTCTCCCGTCCAAATACTAGCCAGGGCTGACTCTACTTAGCTTCCGAGATTGGGCTTGCCAGGGCTAGCTTGGAATATACTAAAAGAAGCCACCACCACCACCCCGCGCACACAACACAGCTGACACACAACAGGAGCTGCGGTGGCTCAAGTGGTTAAGACGCTGAACTGCAGGCTGTGGAAGGTCGGTAGTTCAGCAGTTCGAGACCCGAGTGTGCCGCGTGACGGAGTGAGCTCCTGTCTCTAGTTCCAGCTCCTGCCCACCTAGCAGTTCGAAAGCTAGAAATTGCAAGTAGATAAATAGGGACCACTTCGGTGGGAAGGTAACAGCATTCCGTGCGCCTTGGTGTTTAGTCATGCCGGCCACATGGCCACGGAAACGTCTTCGGACAGCGCTGGCTCTTTGGCTTTGAAACGGAGATGAGCACCGCAACCCTAGAGTCGGACTCGACTGGCTTTCGAGCAAGGGACACCTTTACCTTTAAGCCTTTTTACCTGTCCCTTTAATAGAAATAGGGAGATGAAGATTTCATGGCATAGAGGTAAATAATATCAGCTGATAAATGACATCTCAAGGAGGGGCCCTGAAAGAGCCTCATGCAGAAGTTCCCAGGTTCAATCTGCAGGATCTCCAGTGAAAAGGGACCAGGTGGTGTGAACAACCTCCGACGGAGACCCCGGAGAGCCGCTGCCAGTCACACGTGAACACACATGAAGCTGCCTTACTCTGGATCAGACCCTGGGCCCACCAAGGTCAGGACTGTCTCCCCAGACCGGCAGCGGCTCTCTAGGGTCTCGGGCAGAGGTTCTTTTCCATCATCGACTGCCTGGTCCTTTTTAACTGGAGATGCCGGGGGTTGAACCTGGGGCCTTCTGCATGCCAAGCAGAGGCTCTTCCACTGAGCCACAGGCCCTTCCCGTGGTATGTATGGGGAGACAATACTGACCTCGAAGGACGGGTGGTCGGATTCAGTACGAGGACATTTTTCTCCTGGTCTGTTGGCAACTCTAGGCGGACTGAGATTTCCACAAAGCGAAACACTGATCCACTGAGGGCTAAGAAGCCCCCGAAAGTTCTCAAAATTCTGCCACGTGCCGTATTCCAGTTCCAGAGTAGGGTTGCCAACTGACCAGAAAACCCCATCTGCTCTGCCCCTGCGTCTTTAACAGAACTTTGGGCTGCAGAAATCAACAGGCCTGGGGATTGGCACGGTCGTTGGCTCACGGCTACAGATGAATTGTGACGATAAGCAGCCAGTTCGCGGAGTGAAGGCAGCAATCTTGGCATTGGACTTGGCAAGCTTTTTTGGCCCAAAATGCAATCTGTGAAGGTGTTGGTGTGCCAGCAGCAAATAAAAGGGGCTGGGGGGGGGGGGTTTGCACTTGGCCAGACATGCTCAGAGCATCTCTGGGGTACGGCCAGCATCTCAGGGATTCACTTTAGACTTAGCCAGTGGCCGTGCAGATCTGGGTGCTGACTCAGTAGCCTAGGCCAGGCCACTTGGCTCCTCCCGCACAGTTGGCCCCAGCAGTGCTGCCAGTTTCTCCATTGCCTGGGTAGAGATCTGGCCCTGCATGCCGAGCAAAATGGTCTGGTATGTGTCACTCGGCCAGCATGCCAGGGAATGCTTCCCCCTGCTTTAGAGAGCAGCTGGACCAAGTAAAACTGAGAGGTGGTGGCTGTAGATCTCCTGGAATGACAGCTGTTCTCCAGGTAAAAGAGAGCAACCCCCCCTGGAGAAAACAGCTGCTTTGGAAGGTGGGGTCTATGGCATTCTACCCCACTGAGGTCCCTCCCCTCCCCTCCCCAGGCTCCTTCCCCCAAAATCTCCAGGTATTTCCCAACTCAGAGTCGGCAACCCCAGGACCAAGCCATGTTACCTGGTGGATCTGCCTCTAGCCCTCCTGTGGGAGTGGCAGGCAGGGACTTCCAGGGCCGTGCAGGATTGTGCCGCGGCTGCCGAGATCTCTGCATGCGACACGGGACGGCATCCTGGTTCTGCATGATGCTGGCAATTTCTTGAGAGGAAGTCTTGAAGCGAGGTGGGGAGAGTGGGGGGGGGGAGATTATTGTTGTTGTTACTATTAGAAGAAGAAGAGATTGGATTTATACCCCGCCCTTCCCCCCGCAGTCTCAGAGCAGCTTACAAACTCCTTTCCCTTCCCCTCCCCCACAACAGACACCCTGTGAGGTAGGTGGGGCTGAGAGAGCTCTGAGAGGACTGCTCTTGAGAGAACAGCTCTGAGTGAACTGCTGATTGACCCAGGTCATCCAGCAGCTGCATGTGGAGGAGAAGTGGGGAATCAAACCTGGTTCTCCCAGATTAGAGTCTGCACACTTAACCACTACATCAAACTTACTACTACTACTATTGTTATTGTTGGGTTTTTTTGTTTTTTCCCCCCCCCGTATTTTTTTATTGACATTTTTAGAATACATTCCAGTATAACATTATAACACAATAAGTAATCCAGCGTTACATAAACAGCATAAACACAGGTTAGGTGCACAACTCATGCTACTTCTAAACGTAACTAAGTTTTCCAACTATTTCTTTTACATGTCTAGTTCAGAGAATTCGGTTGTTTAAATATCTCTAGTTAAACAGCATTATTTTAAATTTTGCATTGGCTATTGTTATTGTTGTTATTATTATCATCATCGTATGGCATGGTATAGCCAGGAGATCCTAAGATTGTCTGGAAGTCACAAGTTCTAATTCTTTTAGCATTATGCACCAAAAAAAGGCAGATCTCAGGACAGGAATGGGACATTTGTTTGGGGGAGGAATACTTTGGAAGACCGAGCTGAGTTGGAAATAATAACAAGAGGTATTTTTAGAGTTGTTGCCTCTTTCTCAGGCAGGGCTACAGACGGGTTGGGAGAAAAATGAATCCTTCTCTTCTGGCATCAGCAGGAGACACACTCGCTCACTGCAGGGACATCAGATCGGTCACTGGTAACATCTACAGCAGCGGCTGCTATTGAAGTCACTGGAGCGCCCCACCCCCTCCCAGAAAAAGGTGGCAACTCTACGACCTGGAGAGAGAGCACGTCTCCTTAAAAGGTCCAAGGCTCACTGTAGCATCTGGGAGCTCAGTTCTGCCCTGTGACAAAAAAGGGAGGAGGGCAGGCAAAGGACTCTGGTAAGAAACCTCTCCAGGTATAGTCTCCTCCACAGCTTCATAACTTCAGAAGGGAAAGGCAACATCTCCAGGTGAGCAACAGCTGAGAGGCAGGCAGATATTCAACAAGCGAAGCTTTCTCATGCTGCAGTCTTTTCGCTTGCTGACACTGCTATTAAAGTGCTGGGCTAACGTCTGGAAGACCAGAGTTCAAATTTGTCCCCTTCCATGAAGCTCAACCTGTGTCTTTGGGCCAGACCCTCTCGTTCAACCTGTTACCCCACGGGGTTGTTGTGAGAATAAAGCAAGCAAGGAAGAACCATGTACTACTTTCTAAGCAGCTTGGAGGAAGGGCAGGAGAATCATTGAATCATGGAGATGGAAGGGACCTCAAGGGTCATCTAGTCCAACCCCCTGCACAATGCAGGAAATTCACAAATACCTCCCTCCCACACATACCCAGTGACCCCTGTTCCATGCCCAGATTTGTTTTTTAAAAAAGTATCCTCCAGGATCCCCAGCCAAACTGACCTGGAGAAAAATTGCTTTCTGAACCCAAAGTGGCGATCAGCGTTTCCCTGGGTGTGTAAGAAAGAGCCACAAGAAATCAAACAGCTGCCTGTGTTTCATGCAACATTTAGTTTGCCAGAAGATATGGTTTGAATGCCAGACTAGGCAGTAGAATATCAACATATTGATCTACCATCGTAGCAACAGATGCTGCTGGTTCTCTGAATTCTCAGCTTTTATTTGTTTTTTAAGTTGTCTCTAACCCCCCACCCTTGAGGAGATACAAGAAAAAAGACCTATCTCTGCAGGTGAAGGATCTAAAATTGTAGAATCACAGAGTTGGAAGGGATCTCCAGCGTTATCTAGTCCAACCCCTTGCACAATGCAGGAAATTCACAACCTCCCCCCCACACCCCCAGTGACCCCCATCTCCATGCCCAGAAGATCCCTCCAGGATCCCCGGGCAAACCGGCCTGGAGAAAATTGCTTCCTAACCCCAAAGTGGCGATTGGCATTTCCCTGGGTGTGTAAGAAGGGGCCACAAGAACTAAGCACTGATGCAACCCTTCCTGCCCTCCCTCTCATGATCTGCCTAAATTCACAGAATTAATAATTACTTTTTTTTAAATGAAAGTGGCAAATCCAAAGAACCTGCTACAATTATAGCTACAATGATATATCGAGCTAATGATATTCTGGTGCCATCTTTCAAAACTCGCAAAAGCCCTGTTGGCCCAGGGAAGGAGGGTGGCCACTTCCAAGGGATCGGGGTGGGGAAACCAGAGAAACTTGCCACGTTACTGCCACTGTGTTTTATCTACAGCAGCACCAGCAACCGGGAAAGCACAAAATCCTGTCCCTATTTGGGAGCCACCTCTGCCTGTCAATCCCTAGCCTACCTCACAAGATTGCTGTGAGGATAAAATGGAGGGTGGTTAGGGTCGCTCTGGGTTGGAAGATACCTGTAGACTTTGTGGGTGGATCTGGGAGAGGGCAGGGTTTGGGGAGGGGAGGGGAGGGGAGGGGCCTCCGCATGGCGCAATGCCATAGAGTCCACCCTTCAAAGCTGCCATTTTTCCTAGGGGCAATGTTCCCTCTAAGCTGTGGAGTCATGTGAGCAAAAATTCTGTTTTGTGAGCGACTGGCATTAAAGTTGTGAGCAAGCAATTTGGCTACTGCATAAATTAGTTTGCTCTGGAGCCATCCTTCCTGAGCTAAGACAAAAATATATGAGCCGGAGGCTAAAAAACTGTGAGCCAGCTCACACTAACTCAGTTTAGAGGGAACACTGCCCAGGGGAGCTGATCTCTGTCAGCTGGGGATCAGTTGTCAAAGCGGGAGATCCCCAGGCCCCACCTGGAGGCTGGCAACCCTAAGGATGGTGCATGGGTTGCTGGGAGAAAGGGAGGGATAAAGACATACGAGGTATTTAGCGTGTATGTGGGGGCTCCTACCCTTTTACCTTGAGAGCTGGAGGGTTGCAGGGACAGCCCCTTACCTGTTCCGCAGCTTCCGCCTCCGGCCGGCCCCCCAGCAGCCTCTCGCCTTCTTCCACCACTTCCATTTCATGCTCCATTTTCTTCGCTCGGCAGGAGACTCGGGTGGACTCTGAAGAGAAGCAGGGTTTTCCGCCCTAATCCTAAAACATGAAAACAAGGCATAACTTCTTGGCAGCCAGAGCTCCTGACGTCCTAGAGGAAGTAAGCGGGGGTGGGGCGGGGGGGGTGAGGAGGAATTAGGCCGATAAGCTTTGCTAAAATGGCCACTTGAAAGAAAAGCCTACAGGGTGATTGTTTGCTTCTGTCAAGATAGATGACGGTTTGGCTGAGTAACAGGAGCCAGAACAAGGTCTTTTATGAGGATTTCATAATAATACGGAACACAAGTAAGGTTGCCAAGTGAGCGGAAAAGAAACGGCCTCTAGTCTGTCCAGTGTGAGGTAGCAAGAGGGTTGCCAGCTCTGGATTGGGAGATTCCTGGAGATTTTGGGGGTGGAGCCTGGTGAGGGCAGGGTTTGGGGAGAGGAGGGGCCTCAGCGGGGCTTTTTTTGTAGAAAAAGCCCAGCAGGAACTCATTAGCATAACAGGCCACACCCAACAGCAGGAACTCATTAGCATAATAGGCCACACCCTGACACCACAGCTCATTTGCATATTAGGCCTCAGCCTCGTGTTGCCAAAAGTGTGGTCACCCAGCCACACCCACCTTTTGCTTCTTATTCTGTTTACCTTGTTTGTTGTCAAGACCCAGGGCCTTTTTTTGTAGCAAGGACTCCTTTGCATGTTAGGCCACACACCCCTAACGTAGCCAATCCTAATGAGTTTCTGCTGTTGGGTGTGGCCTATTATGCTAATGAGTTCCTGCTGGGTGTGGCCAACTCAGGAGCCAGCCGGAACTCCATTCCTGCGCGTTCCTGCCCAAAAATAGCACTCAGCAAGGCTAATAATAATAGTTGTTGTTGTTGTTTGTTGTTATTATTATTAATTCAATTTCTGTCCTGCTCGCCCCATGAGCAGGCTCAGGGCGGGTTACAGAGTCACATAGAGACCGTGAATAAAATAACAATGAATAAGAATTTGACAATAAATAGAAATTAGGAATAAAACTAACATTAAAATCAGTTGCCATACTGCCCCCACCCTCCAAAGCAGCCATTTTCTCCAGGGGAACTGATCTTGGTCATCTAGAGATCAATTATGATAGCGGGAGATCTCCAGGTGCTATCTGGAGGCTGGCAACTCTAGGTAGTAATTAGACTATGGGACTATGATCTAGGGGACCCAGGTTCGAATCCCCACTCTGGCATGGAAGCGTTCTGGGCGACCTTGGGCCAGTCACATGCTCTCAGCCAAACGTACCTCACAGGGTTGTGGTGGGGATCAGATGGAGAAGTAGGGAACAATGGGTGCCCACTGGGGAGGAAAGTGAGGTAGAAATGAATAAATGAATTCTACAACCCGAGTCAGGCCCCCACAGCACTGTTAAAAGGAGTTCTCACTCTACAAAATTGTGGCATTTCCCTGCGGCAAATTCAGGGATGCCACCTCATCTAGTAATGCCACAAACCGCCTTGAGCTCCATAGGGAAGAAAGGTGCTGGTAAATGTTCTAAATTAATAAATAAATGGTTTGGGCCTCAAGCTCTGGGAAATTAATTCCTAAAGAGGCATTCATAAGCACATGTGGACGGGGCATGCCCACGGAAAAAACATAGCGCATGTTTAGGCCTTACAGTTTGAGCTGAGAGGGTGTGACTGGCCAAAGCTCTCTCAGTCAACTTCAAAGCTGATTGGGGATTTGAACCCAGGTCTCTCTGCCCAAATTCAACACTCTCACCTCTACATCACCTTGGCACATGGCTGCTATCCTTATCCTCTGCCTCTTTTGCTGTACCTTTAATGGGACCCAGATGTACAAAGAAATTGGCCGAGGGAAGCTTTTCCTGCCTGATTTCTGTACCTGTGCTCTGACCTGGATAGCCCAGGCTAGTCTGATCCTGTCAGATCTTGGAAGCTAAGCAGGGTCGGCCTGGGATAGTACTTGGGAGGACGACCTCCATGGAATACCAGGGTTGTGATGCAGAGGCAGGCAATGGCAAACCACCTCTGAAACGTCACTTGCCTCAAAAACGAGTCTCACTCGCCACCTAGTGGTGCATAACATTAAAAGAGCTAGAACTTCTGGCTGCCAGACAATCTTAGGATCTCCTGACTATTCTACGCACAATGCAATGCGATGATTAATTAATTTCTATACATGTTCTGTTAAAGGAACAAGAACAGGGACAGCTTTTTTTAAAAAAACTGGGAACTGGTTTTTTGGTTGAGGACTATGGCATTAAACCAAAAGGTTTCAGAGAAAAAGCGGGATTTTTTTTTTTGGGGGGGGGGATCGAAGCAAGACAGAGAGGTGGCTCCACAGAAGGTGTTTTCAGAGGGTGTTCTGGGCCTAGAGGGCAACCAGGGAGAATGGGTGGAGTTGCTGAAGAGGTCTGCAAGGGTTAAGCTTGGGAGGAAATCCCTGCTCATTTATCAGTCCCACTTCCTTGTAAATATGCTTAGGATGATAGCCTCTGGCCCTAGGCAGTGTCAGGACTGATGGAAAAGGAAACAGGAAGCCGTAATAAAGCTGAAGATTTGAGCTCCCTGACAAGTTTAAGGTTGCCAACATCTTTTTTCTCTGGCAGTGCTTCTGTATCTTTAAGGAAGATGGCTGGCCATGTTAGTCTGTAGCAGCAGCAAAGAGCCAGAGCCCAGTAGCACCTTAAAGACGAACAACATTTGTGGTAGGGGAATGAGCTTTCCTGAGTCACTGCTCACAAATTTTGTTAGTCTTTAAGGTCCGGCTCTTTTCTATCTTTGAGCACTTTGTGATGAGTGAAAAAGGTTCCGCTTCTGAGAGCTGCCTTGTAATGTTCTGGAGACAAGCCGGAGTGGGGGGGTTGTCAACCTCCAGGCAGGGCCTGGAGAGCTCCTGGAATTGCAACTGACCTCGAGACGACAGAGACCAGTTCCCCTGGAGAAAAGCGGCAGCTTTGGCAGAAGGAAATTATGCAATCCACAAGAAGGAGGAGGAGGAGGAGGAGGAGGAGGTCTTGTCAGAACTACGGCTTGTCCAAGGTCATCCTGCAGGTGAAAGTGGAGGAGTGGGGAATCAAACCCGGTTCTCCCAGATTAGAGTCCGTATACTTAACCACTGGCTCTTCAGATTTGAAACGGAGATGAGCACCTCAACCCTAGAGTCGGACTCGACTGGCTTTCGAGCAAGGGAAACCTTTACCTTTACCTTACTTAACCACTACACCAAAATAACACACAGTCCCAAGACAGTCTGGTATGAAAAAATACACAGATGTGTGCTAGATGCCCCCAGAAGAATACAATAACAAAAGAGACTAGATTAAAGCCATAACATCATTTAAGTGTCTGGTAATAGAAAAAACAACCACTCATTCCTTCACAGAAAAAATACAAAGGTCGATAAAACGTCACATAGCAGTCTGCTCCAGACTCTCTCAATCTATATCCTTCTAACAGTCTTGTATTCTTATCCAAATTCCCAAAAGCAGTCTGCTCCAAATTCAATCAAGCTGTGTCTCTCTTTCAGTCAACACTTTTTCTGGATATCTAAGTGTTTCAGACGTCTGGTCTTTCCTCAGGAACAAATCCTATATTGGTATCTTACATTCAAGTTGACACTTCCATCGATTTATTTTTCTGTTAGTCTATTCGGGCAAGGTCTCCTCGCTTATTTCCAAGCGTGCTGGTGCTGCTGCCAAAGTCAAATGGACCCACACTATGCCATATAACATGCTAGGGTCCCTCCCCACCCCACCCTTTGCCCTCCCTAGGCTCAAACACCATATCTCCAGAAATTTCCCAGCCTGGAGTTGGCAGCCCTAAAACCAAGGAGGAGGAAGAGCACCACTTTGCCTTTTCGTGTTCTTCCAGTCATGCTGACATTTTTATTCATTAGAAGTTGTATATCCCACTTTTTCCTTGGGGTCAATGAGGCTTACAGAGCCAAGATTAAAGCCATGCAAAACACAATAAACCTACGTTAACGTGTTAAACCTACGTTAACACTCTCCCCTGCCCCAAAAACAATTGCTGCTTAGATATTAGAAATATAGAAACACAGAGCTGGAAGGAACCTCACAGGTCATCTAGTCCAACCCCCTGCACAATGCGGGAAATTCACAACTACCTCCCCCCACTCCCCCCAGTGACCCCCTGCTCTGTGCCCAGGGGAAGGCAAAAATTTAACTGGCCAATCTGGCCCGGAGGAAAATTCCTTCCTGGACATGAAGAAATGCATTTTTCTTTGGAAGTTTGAAATGAGCAAAATCTTCACTTTGAGTTTTAATCCCCCCCCCCGGCAGAAAACAAGCTATTCAATGGCTTTCCAGGCTCACCTCAGTTACCTCTTAAGGTCTATAGGTCTAGCTAGAGACAATAGGAGGGTTCAGACTCCCCCCCCCCACCTCTAGCAGGGAACAGATAGGCTTACCAAATCTCGCATAATCGCGGCAGGGGATCCGCATGTCTTCGCAGAATCCGTGCCACGTTGCACCGCCGTCGCCAGGACATGACGCTACGCGTCGCTCTGGCAACGGGGCTGTTTGGAGCCCCGTTGCCAGAGTGACGCATAGCGTCACATCCTGGTGATGGCAGGTGCAACGCGTCTCGCCGTCCCCGTGGCACGGATTCTGTGAAGACATACAATCCCCCACCACAACTTGGCAACCCTAGGAACAGAAGCTTCTGGAATCTTCAGGAAAAGCTTCTCTGACAGGCCAGACCTGGTCAGTGGGTGGGGAGAAGAGAGGTGAAAAAACTCAGGGGAGCATTGAGGAAGCACTCTTTTTCTTGGGTGCTGAGTCTGTGAGAGCAGACACAACTCTTAATTGAGGCCTGCAGGGGGTGACCATTGGCCATGCGGTGGCCTGAAAAGCTGGAGAGGTCTTCAAGATAAAAGTAACTCTGTAGAGATCTGTAACTTCCTAAGCAAAGGTGCCTGTCCTATATTTTAACATCTGATAGGGCATGTATAGAGAGACAGGGACAGAGGATTTGAGTTTTATCAATTTCTTTTGGATCCCTTGCTCAATGTGCCAAAACTATGCTTGTGAACATTTTCT